GATTTTCCTGAAAAATGCTGTGCAAATCAGATGAACAGCCACAAAAAGTACGACATTCTCGTGCATTTCTTTGCTTATACCTTGCAGTCTTTGAGCTCACTTTCAACGTTCAGTTTATCTTCTTGCTCACTGAGATAAAGCTCACGAAATTTATGAAGTTGCTGTGAAGTGGCAAAGGTCAGTGAACAGATACAGCAGTATGAAATTAATAACCATGAAAAAGTTGAACAAGCAAGGTTTACTTTCTGGCTGTTGTCGAGATCAATCTCTAATAGCTCTATCCTTTCAGTTTTTGCCTGCAAGACATATATCTCACCATATAAGATTCAAACAAATCAGATAGAAGTTTACTATTATGGTTTATTCAGGCTAAACGTTATGTAAGGCCTGAATTTCTTTATAAAAGTAACAGATAAAAGTTGTTCACCCAAGCTAAATTCCATTGCATTATAACAGTTCTGACAATGAACTTGACTAAAGCAGAACAAGTTGCCAGGATGAGATGCACCAGATAACGACTTATGTACCTTTTTCTCAGCTTCATCCTGTAGAAATCTTTCGTGTGGAATATAAACACCATTCTTTTCCCTTGCTGCTCGAATATCTGATTTGAATTCAGATGGAAAGGACTTCAAAATCAAGATTCTAATACTGTATATAAAACCACAAAATGCAGGCACGACAGAATACCTTGTTTCATTTTCTCCATCTCCAAGTATATATCCTTAAGCAGCATAGCCTTGGAGACTCTTTGGTTTGCCTTTCAAAAGAAGTTTCATTAAGCTCAAATGAGAAAAAATAATGTTACTTGTACATAAGCGGTTACATAATGGATTTATACAAATGAGGTGTCAAAAAGAGAGGGGAGAAGTTTTTTTTCTTTTATTTGGTTGAAGAAATTTTGATCCAATCTTTCACCACATCATGTGTAAGTAAACGATCATGTAAACTTATTATGTACATGTAGCACAACCAAACGAAAAATATATAATATACAAACTGAGGCAAAAAAAATAGCTATACAAACCTCTGGCTTGTTTTTAATGTTTTTAGCTCGACAAGCATAGTCTAGTGTACTCAAAGTTTCTTCCAAACTTTGAACTGATGGAGAAATTGTTGCAATGATGCATGTCTTTGTTTTTCCTCCTAAGGAGTCTCTTAGGAGCCTGGTTAGCTTACTATCCCTGTACAATGGTTCAGAAGAGGAGATGAAGGTGGAAAAAATATTCATTTATCCCTTAAATAAATAATATACTACCACTTACTCAGACCTGTAAGGTATGTGAAGAGAATGCTCCACCAGTGTATTAATTACACGGCCCAAGGTTAGTAAGCTCTTATTTATTTCCCCAGCTTCTCTTGCACGAAGCTGTATTATAATTTGGAATTTTGATCAATATTTGATGGTTAAAACCAGCAAAACTTAATTATTATAATGGAGCCCTTTCATCCTTGCACTCGTCAAAACAAAATGAAGAGAAAACTGAGCAGTATCAATAAATTCTAGCATGAACATTTTCCCATTGTCTTATACTGTTATTGCTTCTGACTGACAAGATACTTAAATCAATTACATAATCCATCACTGAATCTAGGGTTTGCATTTATTCAACTCACTCTTTCTTTTTATTCTGCACGAAAATTAAGCTGCAGCACTGCGATGAACTGCTTTATATTTTTAGTTTTAATGAAAAGGTGGAGCACAACTAAGATAAAATCTATGGCCAAAGACAACATTTTTTCTCAAGGTTATTTAGACATAATTTCTAGGAATACAGGACCTTGACAGTGGAAGTATTTTTACAGCCATGAACAATGAATAAATAAAGAATTAATTTCACACCTCTCGAGCTCCTGAACGAGAAATATTCTCCGATCCTGCCAAATCAACAAGATTAAGCTTGCCACATTTGATAAGATCTTCATCTCCAACGCCCTTTTCTTTTATGTGAACAGTTATGGTGAATACAGAATGGGAACGGCTGCATCATGTGAAACGTTTTAGCCACCAAGATTAATCAGGATGTGAAAATATATATATTGATGAGGGCTAGATAAACCACACCTACTGCGCTTGTTTAAAAGAGTGTCTGCCGTGCGCCTTCTGGCTGCACCTCGTTCCAAAAGGTTGTAAATGTCATTTGCACTGTATACAGCTTCCTCTTCAAGGCCTCTTACAACCACACAACCCTTTCCATCTTCCATCAAAGAAATAGGCTTTTTTTGCCTATCTTCAGTTGATTTTGAATTATCTTCTGGACCGAGCAAGTCAGTTATTTCTTCGTTATAAAGTTCCAAAAAGGTCACTTTCATACTGTAATCAGCATCTTGTGCATCAAGTGTGTCAAAGATTTGTCGAACTGCTCTAGGAATAACACCTGCCTCAGCAGGCAATTCACCACCCTAGGACAAGTGCGGCATTGTTGAATTCAAGACAATCAGGAAAAACATGAACAAATACCTTATTTCTTAGGTTGATATAATCATACCTTATTTCTCATCCCTCCTTCCATTGTATAAGTTTTCCCTGTTCCAGTTTGCCCATAAGCAAAGACAGTGCAGTTGAAGCCCTCAAGCATTTCACAAACAATTGGGGAAATAGCTTGATCATATATTGATCTTTGTTGTGCTTTTGGCCCGAAGACCTTCCAAATATTTCGGAAAAACGTTAAAGCGTAAATGAATATTTTTGCTGCCTCAGGATTTAAATAATCATTACAACAAATAATGCTTACCTTATCAAAGGTGAAAACTCTGTCCACTTGCTTGTTAGCCAGGCCTTGTAAAACAGTGACTTCTCGTTTATTTTCGTTGCAAGTGACAACCTTTGGCACATTTGCCCTCTGTTCATCATCACTCAATGGCCTAAATTTAAATTCAAACAAAACAGTAAACATAGTACATCATACAAAATAAGCCATTTAAACAAAATCTAAAGGATGTGTTCACAAATGGAGTCCTCATCTGCAACACTATTGATTTACTGACAAATTTAGGCCCAACCAAAGTGGGAAACATTTTTGCATAATTTTTTCATGGATTTCAACTTTCCTGCCTTAATGCATCAAGTATAAATTTCCGTGTTTGTGAATTAAAACCTAAAAACAGAAATGTATAATTAATTTACTGATAAAAACATTGAAAGAGTGAATAAATTAAATCTGGAAAAAATTCACCTGCATCTTAGCAGAACCTGCACGTTGACCTCTTTATCTTTGTCCTGACGATTCGAGTTCCACTCAGACCCTCTTGAATCAGGCCTACGCCTCTCAGGCCGCGGCGTGAAAAAGGGTGATGGAGATGGCGAAACCCCTGTTCCCACCTTACGAAAATGGTCTGGCGTCAGTGACATCCTCTTTCTTTCCTCCTCAGTTTCTCAGCTCCTTCAAAATCAAAAATCAATTCAGAAGCTCAAAAATTTTATTAAGAAAATGAGAAATCGAAAAGAGTGCTCCGTGATTACCTGAATTTATTGCTACTGCAGAAGAATGGATAGAAAAAGGGAAACAAAAATTTTGTTTTTTGAAGATAGTTTTCTCCTTCTTGGAGATTGGAGAGTGCAAATGAGATGTTTGATTTTCTAACGGCTACTGTTTGGTACATCACACTGTCGAGGATTCCTTTATTTTGAAAAAAGTGGGCCAGGGCCCATTGACGAAATTCAAATACGAGGCGCGTATATGACTTTTGTGGCTTTGGGCATAAAAGCCATCTTTTATCGTTGGCTCATTTTCATTTCATTTGTAGAAATTTTTTTACCATTGCACAGGCCACATTATTGTAAAAGTGAGAATGAAAAAAAATATAAGCGTTATAGGTCCCACATAAGAGATAAAACTCAAACAGGACCTTAACATTTTTTATAAAAATTATGTCAAGAGTTATTCATTTCTTTTAAACTTTAACAATTTTATTTATCACTGCAACTACCCAGTTTCAAAAAATACATCACGATTTCTTTGCCATTAAAGGGGTCTAATTGGAAAACAAAGACGAAACCCTGCAACAAATACAAAAGTCATGAAATCGTGGCAAAAATAATGAGACTGGAAAATGAATTCTCTCAAATTAACTGGCTCCCAAACAAGGGCTTTTCGGTATATATTTTGGGAAAATTTCATAATTAAGAATTTAAGTATCACACATTTCAAAAATAAGAAAATAAGTTTTAAACTTCAAAAATCAGATTTTTATTAAAATTTATTTATGATTTAATTAGTTAATTAATTATTTTATTAATTAAATATATTTAAATCACAGATCTATACAATTTGGTCACAAATTAACAATTTAATTAGTTACTTATTATTTTTTGTTACAAATAAAAAATTTTATGTCACGTATTTTTTTACGATCACAATTCAAAATTTTTGTAGATCACAATATGTTAACAAATCAAAAAAATAATTAGCTACGATTTAATTTTTAGTCACAAATTATCACATTATTGTTCACAACTTATTTTTCGATCATAAATCAAAATTTTTCATGTCACAATTTTGTACGTCGGTCACAGATAAAAAATTTATACGTCACAATTTATTTATAGGTCACAAATTATAAATATTATAAGTCACAACTTATTAGCAGTTATAAATTATTAATTTTTTAGGTCACGCATTATTTTTGTCACAATTTATTTTTCTTATTGGTCACGTTGGTCATGAATTAACCAATTTAATGGTAACAATTTATTTACTGATCACAAATTAGAGAATTAATTGGTCACGAATTAATTTTTAGTCACAATTTATCAAATTACTAGTCACAACTTATTTCTTGGTCACAAATCAAAAAATTTATAAGTTACGTATTATTTTTCGACCACGAATAAAAAAATTTATAAATCACATATTATCCATTAGTCACAGAATCAAAATTTTTATTGATCACAAGTCATTTATTCATTGCAAATTTTTATATTAATTAGTCACGATTAATTTTTTGATCACAACTTAATAAATTGTGAGTCGTAGTCACAATTTTAAGGTCACATATTACAAATTGACCTATTATTAGTTACAATCTATCAAAAAATTGGTCACATGCATTCAACCCCATTTCACCCCACGACCATCATCACTGTTACCATTACCGCCGCCCACAAGAGAGCCCTTCTTCAACAGAGCCGCCACCACTTCATGACAACCTGTCAACACCAGAAATTTTTCGTCGAAAAATTCACGCAGTACGAAAAAACTAAAAAAATCACATTGAAAAAAAGGAGTTCTCAATTTACAGAATCTAAAAATACTACTTTCTGTAGCTACGATCTGGAAAACAAGGCAGAATGCATAATCTAATTATACATGATAACTGCCGAGGGCAATATACGATCTGAAAACGAGTGAGTCCCTCTCAATGGCGTCTTCTGTGGAAAGACGGGGGATGTTGCTGTTATTGATGGTTGCCTGGTATGCACCCAAGTAGAAAACTGTTCTTTAATCCAAACAATGGATCCGGTCCTCCTGTTGCCATTTTTGTTCAATTTTGCATATGTCAGATCTATCAAAAAAATTTCTGGGAGAAATGTTGAGAGAGATGTGGAGAAAGTAGTGGGAATTAATTAGGTAGAAATGTAGAGAGAGATTCAGTCATGAATTCGTGAAATCACTTTTTTTTTTTTTTTTATAACCCAGGTGTCCCAGCTTAGCCGGACTAAATCCTGGACCTCTAGCCCCCGGCCCCTCAGTGACTAGTGGAGGTAAATCGCAGGTTGTGCCCTTGTTGGTTCCCAGGTTCCCACATGGCTTTTGCTCCTTCCCCAAAGGGACCCTCCTCCATGGTTATTACATCACCAAGCTGCTCCAACCCTTCATCTGGTTATTACATCACTTGGCTGCTCCAACCAGGAATCGAACTCCCCACACTTGGTTCCAGAGCCCCCAATGTGATTGTTCCGCCAACTTGGATGTGCCCTGGGGGGCTCGTGAAATCACTTTTCATCTGTGGGAGAAATGGAGAGAGAGTAGTGAGAATTAATGAGGGTTTTGTGTGTATTGGAGAACATATATTTAGTAAAAATATTTATTTTAAAAAAATATTAATTAAAATAAATCATTTGATTTTTGAAAGGTTAAATTATCCATCTTATTTTAGAATTGTGAATTTTTAAAGTAAGAAATTGTGTAATTTTCACATATATATTTTTTGAAATAACTCAAAAATGATTCTATTTTTAATTTTGCTGAAATCAATCATTCTATATTAACAATATTAGTTATGGATTGACAACATGTTATTTGACATCATCATATTCATCCATTTAAAAAAAAAAATTCTAAATCATTAATTTGAATTTTGACAACACATAGATGTCAACCAATGTTGTAGACTTTACCCCTGTGTGAGCCTCATTCTTCATAAAATTCATATTTTCAAAATCATTTTCAACCACATATTCTTTAATAAAATAATATTACACGTAAATTCAAAAATTTTCTTAATTTTTAACCACACGTTCACCATCTCGCTATTGAAAAATACATTTTTTCCTTAAAATGGGGCTCAAACAAGGGATTGTCGTTGGGATTGACTCGAGCCAATAGGAAAAAAAGTTGAGCAGCCAAAATCGAAATTATTTTAAAGTTTTTTATTTTTATTTTATATAACTTTTTAATGGATAAAATTTCAATTTTAACTATACATTTACTTAAACCCACAAATTTTATCAACTTGTCAATTGCACATATTGTAATACTTTAATTATACCCAAAAAAAAAAAAAATCAAAACCTAAAATGGAAGTCAAAAACATCAAGCTTTGGGAAAAAAAAAATAAGAAAACAAACAAATTGAAATAGTAGACGGTGGAATGGATATGTACCCATTTCATCATAAACCAATTCATTTATATATAAACAATCCATTTCCACACCCCAATACACACAACACATAGAAGAAAAACAAGAGCAGGGAAAAAAAGAGGAAGGAAAGAAAGAAAGGAGGGTAAGAAAAAGAAGAAGAAAATAGGAAAATCGTCAAATTGTTAGAAAATAAATGATCTCTACTATTAAGCTTGAATTCTTCAAATTCAAAGGTAAGTAAAAAGTTATTTATTAAATAGTTATATTTAATTTTAGAGTAGTTAGATTGTTTAAATTCAATTTTATCGAAGAAAAATTATTGCATTAAGAATAATAAGCTATGTAATAAAGTTAAATGAAAGAAAAATTAGCTTAAGTAATTAAAGGTACTTTAGAAATCGTTTAACAATGAAAAAATAAAGTTTTGGTATCGTCTATATAATTATCAGAATTTCTTAAAATTGTTAATTGTTTATTTAAAAATTATATCATATTTCCAGCGAAGATACAGATATCGGGACAGCTTACCAATAGTTGATTTTGCGTATATAGTTCTGTGAGTAGAAAAACTTATATATTTTCAAATATTGATAAATTAATTATACTATTATATTATGTGCAATTATATGAATTTATTATACAATTACATTATTATAGTGAAAGATTATTTCATTATGATATATGTGAAATCATATCGGTTGTACATGGATTACTTATGAATTGGAATGTGACATATGATATTGAGACTGACCAGAAAAGTACCTGTAATTATATACTTCTTCTAGTTCACAAAAGAGCGTTGGCCGTGTTCTATCATACACGGGGGGATCTTAACCGAGCATTGGTCTTGACTGTGTACATATAATTTACAGTGGAGTCTTGACTGTGTTCTAAAATTGATTACCATAAGTCTTGAGACTCGCTTTCGTTCACAGAGGGGGCCAAAAGTCTGTGGCGAAAGTTCTTAGCCCGAGTGATGGACTACAATTTCAGTCAGATGGTACATTTTGGTGGATTGCATGTATTGCGATGGGATGATATTATAAATTTGAGTTGAGGATTATATCGTGACTATGAGATTATATATTTCAGTATTATGAGGATGTCTCATATCTTGATTATTATTATATGCTGATTGTGAACTCTTAATTGATGTAAACATGCAATAAAAATGTATAAATGAAAAGATATATTTATTTTTGAACTTCTCTACTCATTGAGCTATCAATTCATAAATTTTTCCACAATTTTTCTTATCATGTAGCAGTCGAGTTCCTGGACATCTTTTGGATTGAGTTTTTAATTTTGGAGTCAGAGCCATATGATAGAGTTTGCTAGTATGACTCATTTCAGAGAGCATATAGTTAGTGTTTCGAGATGCATGTTCATGTTTAGATATGATTTTGCATTACTTTTAGATAGTTATGGGGCTCACTAGGTATTTTGTATTTATATATACATATCATGTTATTTTCATAGTAAAAGTTGAGATTTCGTGAGCTAGACTACCAGGAATGGGGACTAAGCAAACATATTTGTAAGATATTTACAATAACGAATTGGTAATCACACATATGGGACTTCGCATTTCTATTGCATTGCGTTATATATTTTGAGATTTGTGTATAGTAGATTATATGTTGCTAGTCCTATTTAAAGGGAAAATAATGCTGAAATTATATTAAAATTAATTTATAAAATTTGCATATTGTAGTAGCCTCGATGTTGGGTTCGACTTTTAGTTGGTATTTATTACGACGCACATCACGTTTCGGATCCACTACTAGCATTACTCGGAGCGGGACGTGTCACTTTGGTATCAAAACATGCTTTAGAGTCCATAGGCTTGCATTGTACACACATTTTGATGTTTAGCATATCATGCATAATTGTATGTGAGTCAGACCCAAGGCTTCAAGAGATGTTGCTCCACTTTCATATTGTTTTTGATAGAGATGAACTTAGAGGATTCGAGAGAATAGATGAATTAGTTCACCAACCTCCTGAACAACAAGGATTGGGAAATGTGGTTAGAAATGATCCTATGGCTGTTGAAAGAATTACTACTAGGGTTATTTCTACTACGCGTAGTGCTGATAGTGATTTTAGTATTGAGTGGGCTACAATATTAGGGACTAAAGTTTTCATAGACACAATCAATCCTGCAGTTGCTCAGGCATGGATGATCAAGATAAAGACAGTATTGATGTTATGGGTTGCCCAGATGATTGAAAGTTGTGTCTTGCCACTTTCTTGTTAGATGTGGGTACATATGATTGGTGGCAGTCAGTACAAAGCACATATCGAGACCCTTATATCATCACTTGGACAAATTTTTGACGTATCTTTTACAATGCTTATTACCCTCATTCATATAAAGATACAAAGCATGAGGAATTTTTGAAGTTACTACAAGGGCAGATGACTATTCCTAAATATGTTTAGATTACTGCTGAAAAAGTAAGGATAATTAAAGAAAAGTTAAAGATAGATTGAGATAGACAGAAGAATTACGCAAACAGATGCGGAAGAAACTTTGAATTTGATATTGGGGATAGAGTTTTCCTACGATTATCATCACGGGAAGGTGTTATCAGATTTGAGAAACGAGATAAATTGAGTCTGAGATATATTGGCCCATATGAGATTGTTGAATGCATTTGTCCAGTTCCTTATCTATTGGCTTTGCCAATGGAATTGTTCAGAGTTCATGATGTATTTCATATTTCCATGCTTCGTAAGTATATTCTAGATCCGTCTCATGTTTTAAAATCACAACCAGTGGAGTTGAAAAAATTCTTACATAAGAAGAATGACCAATTTACATATTGGATAGAAAAAAATAGGTCTTACATGGTAAAACTATTCCTTTGGTTAAAATTCTATGGAGGAATCGTGATATAAAATAAGCTACATGGGAAAGTAAAGTGCAGATGCATTCTCAGTATCCACGACTTTTTTGTATATAGCAAGTTGAATTTCGAGGACGAAATTCTTTTAAGGAGGTGAGTTTTGTAATACTTTGTGGGAAATTTTATATATTTTCAAATATTGATAAATTAATTATACTATTACATTATGTGCAATTATGTTAATTTATTGTACTTTTATATGATTATTATGAAAGATTCTTTCATTATGATATATGTGAAATCATAAAGGTTGTACATGGGTTATTTATGAATTGGAATGTGACATGTGATATTGAAATCGATCAGAAAAGTATCCGTGATTATTTACTTTTTTTAGTTCATAGAGAGGCGTTGACCCTGTTCTATATTACACGGAGGGGGCTTGATCGAGCATTGGTCTTGATCGTATACATATAGTTTACAAAGGAACCTTGAACGTGTCCTAAAATTGATTATCAAATGTCTTGAAACCCACTTTCATTTACAGATGGGGCCAAAGGCCCATGGGAAAAGTTCTTAACCTGACGGGCAGATACAAATTTCAACTAGAGGGTACATTTTGGTGGATTACATGTGGTGCGATGATATAATATTATAAATTTAAGTTGAGGATTATATAATGACTATGAGATTATATGTTTTAGCATTATGAAAATATCTCACATCTTGATTATTATCATTATATGCTGATTGTGAACTGTTAATTGATGTAAACATGAGTTTCGATAAAAAAAAATGGTATAAGTAGAGATAGAGGGAAAATAGGAATAAGATCACCATCAAGGTATAATGAACCTGACTTTATTATTGCATTTAATGTTTAGACTTATTTTGATAATTAGCCTAACTCATATGAAGAAACTATTAACGAAAAGAATGCTAAGTTATAGTTGGTAGCTATGAAAGATGAAATGCTTTCATTAGACAAAAATAAGAGTTGGGTTTCAGTTAATAAACCAAAAGGAGAAAGGATCATTGATTGCAAATGGATCTATAAAATAAAAGAAGACGATTCTAAAGGTAAAAAGGTCAGGTTCATGGCCACTTTAGCTGCTAAGGGCTTTAACCAAAGAGAAGGGATTGATTAAAATGAGATTTTTCACCTGGGTCAAATATACATCTATAAGACTTGTACTGTCTCTTGTTTCTCAATTTGTTTTGAATTAGAACTGCTAGATGTGAAAACTGCCTTTTTGTATAGAAATTTGGATGAAAAAATCTATATGAATCAACCAAAAAGATTTGAACAAAAAGGTAAGGAAAACTATGTGTGTCTTTTACAAAAATCACTCTATGGCCTGAAACAAGCTCATAAATGGTGGTACATCAAGTTTGATACTTTTATAAAGGGCCTCAACTTTAATAGAAGTGAATATGATCCATGTTTTTATTATCAAGGTAGCGAGGTCCTAATTCATACTATCTCTTGCTCTATGTTAATGATACGTTGTTAGCTAGATGTAGTATTACTGAAATAAATCACATTAAGCAAATGTTAAAACAAGAATTTGAGATGAAAGACTAAGGATCAGCTAAAAAGATTCTAGGAATGGAAATTAAAAGAGATAGAGCTAAAGGTAGTCTATTTCTTATGCATCAGTCATATATCTAAAAAATACTAGACATGTTTGCCTTGGACAAAGCAAAGGAAGAGCAATTTTTTTTATTTTTTTTTTTATCTCTTCAACTGTTTTTTTTTAATCTTGTAAATGTACAAGAAAATTCTCCAAGTGGTCTTGAGGATGCCCAATAATAAAAGTCTCCTCCACGACCAAATCCACCATATCAATGTATAGACAGTTATCTGATTCTGTAGGATACTTGATAGTATTGAAAACGTTGAATGTCACCTGCTCATCATTTAATCGCAACATCAATTATCCTTTCTGCACATCTATTATGTCTCGACATGCTGCAAGGAACGGTCTTCCCAATATCAATAACACGTCTTTATCCTCCTCAACCATGTCCAGAATGACAAAGTTTGTAGGATAGATAAATTTATTGACCTTCACCAGTATGTCTTTAATAATTTTCCTTGAAAATTTTATGAACAAGTCTGCCAATTGAAAAGATATCGATGTTGCCTTTGCATCTCCCAAGTTTAGCTTCCTAAAAATAAAGTAAGGCATGAGGTTAATGCTAACACCCAAATCACAGAAAAACTTATCAATTTCATATTACCAATAGTACAAGGGATAGTAAAACTCCCTGAATCCTTTAGTTTAGGCGACTTATTCCATAAGATGGTATAGCATTCTTTGTTCAACATCACTGTCCAAACATCCTCTAACTTCTTGTTTGTGAGTATTTCCTTCATGAACTTCGTGTAACTGTGCATTTGTGCAAGTGCATCTACAAATGGTATATTGATATGAAACTTTTTGAATACCTCAAGGAACTTTGAGAATCAGTTGTCTAGTTTATGGTACTTTAGCCTATGTAAAAATCATAGTGGTTGAACAATTTCTTTAGTAGGAGCGGTTACCTTAACCTTTGGATCCTCTGATGTTCCATCTTGTTCTTTGTTTCACTCATATTACTCCAAGTGCTCCTCAATCATGGTAGATACCTTTTCTTGTGTAGCCACTGACTTCTTCACATTTATCTTAGGTAACTGTACTCTACTACGAGTAGATAGCTTTGTAGTGCTCTTTAGTGTTCGTTTCAGTGTCACTAGGCAATGCTCCTAGTAGTCTCTCTGAAAGTGCTTTGGTTATTTGTCCCATATGATTTTTCAAATTTTTTATGGCAACTCTTTGAACTTGTAAGATCTTATCCATTCTTTGCATATGTTGAGTGGATATTTCTGCTAAGTTAGTCACGAGATCTTCTAGTGAAGACTTCTTCTCATTCCTCTGAAATCCAGGTGATGTAGTTTACTTTGGTGCGATCTGAGTTCCCTGATTATTACTCCATTAAAAGCATGGGTAATTTTTCCAACATGGGTAATAAGTGTTAGATTTTGGATTGTGTTTTTGCCTTTAAAAATTCTGAGTGTAGTTCACATCTTCCACTGTCTGAACAAAGGAGATCATACATTACAATCAATACTCTGTGGCCCCTTCCACAATGTTTGCATTTTAGTTCCAATAATCTAATCTATTTTTTGTAACAATAATGCCAACCATGCTAAATTTGCAATCAAAAAATCAACTTTGAACACCCCTTGCAGCTTTTTTTGCTCATTCTTTCAGTAGGCTAAAGTGCGTTAATAAATGCTAAATCCTCCATGATTTGGTGGACTTGATCCACAGTTCTTTTGTGATGGAACCATCGTACATAGAGTCTATGTTCGCCCTGCTAATCAAATTCTGACCAATGTAGAAGTATTGTACCTCAAGCCACTTTTGCAATCCGTGTTGTGGGCATTTACAGAGTAAATCTTTATATCATTTCCAAGTCTCTGAATAGCATTCTGAGTCCAATTGTTGGAAAGTAGCAATCTCATCCTTTAGCTTTGCAATCCTTTTCGACTGAAAAAATTTGCTAAGGAATTTCTGATTCAATTGATTCCATATAGTAATGCTATATTGTGGACAAGTGTCTAACCACTCTCTTGCTGAACCTCTCAATGCGTATGGGAAGAGCCTCAATCTGATTTCTTCGCTGACACCCCTAGATAGTTGATAGTTGCACACATGTCCAGAAATCTTGATATATATGGGTTGGGATTCTCTGTAGCTCTTCCAAAGAATTGTAGCGCGTTTTGGAACATGTTGATAACATCAGTCATCAGGTGGAATTTTACCTGACCAAACGTCAGATATACTATGCTAGGCTAGCTTTCCACGACCTGTGGAACCATATATTTACCCGCGAGCCTTGCGTTTTAATTAGTTGCTTCTGTATTCGGTTATGTCACTCCCAAATTAGCCCCGATGGCTATTTCATTTGGATTTTCGTTTGTCATATCTTCCTTTTTCTATTTTTAGTGTGTTTCCAACTGTTGTCTTCTTCGAAAGTTGAATGTTCGTTCAATCATTGGGTCAAATCGAGCAAGATCATTAATTCTTAAACTTCACATACAAGGTCCAAAAAAAAAAAAGTAAGAAACATTGTAAATGTTTTCTAATATAATAAATTAAACTAAAGAAAACAATATAATTCAGATTAAAGCTAAAATTAACTAAAACTTGTCAAAAACAATAGTCGCCGGTAAAGGCACCAAAAACTTGACCATTTGAAAAATCTCATAGATTTTTAACTATGCGATCACATAGTTCAACCTTCTTTCCATTTTGTGCACTTTGGTCCTCGTACTTCCATTCGGCGTCTTTTTCTCCCTTATTAACCTATGTTGAGCTCTCTCAACTTCTGAGTGCATCCAATTGAACCCCCCCCCCCCCCCCCCCCCCCCGCCCCCATTTCC